TTTTAAACCACAGGCTTATTATTTAACGTCATTGACAGGTCATACCTAATGTCAGAATAATCCAACTTTAACCATTTGATATCGAATCGACTACTCGTTAAACGGAATTGCTTTTATGGAGTTTGATATCAAATTCGAGACGAATCGTGAAACGGAATCCCACCCCTGATCTCTATATAACGGGCTTATAACATTAACTTTAATTTTTTGTTAAATGTATTACGTTTCTTGTTATTTTGACATATGTATATTTATCTAAATAAATTATTAAAAATTAGGTTTTTGAATTATCCGTGTTTTCAATTATCTGGTAGGGTCTCTTTTCAGGCTGGCCCAGATAATCAAGGTTATACTGTAATTCTTATTTTATTAAAATATAAAGGGTAATCTTGTAGTTGAATGGTCTGGAAATGCACATGTCTGCACCATTCCTGTTCCGTCTAGTTCTGATAGTTGGAATAGTTACATAGTTGTCAGGTTATATTTAATTATTTGGAACCAGGGAATAAGCAGATTGAAATAACTATTCTAATTTTAATCATCTATTTACCCGAGCGGCAAATCACTCCCGCAATACGTGTACAAAATGTCCGCAGTCTCATCAAAATCAGTGACAATCGCTAAGAAATCGCCGCAGTCGTTCCGAATTCGCTCGCAGTCGTTCCGAATTCCCTTGCAGTCCCCCGAATTCTCTAGCAGTCACTGAGCAATCACTAGCAATCGTTAAAAATCGCGCGCAGTAAGGTGACATTATTAACCAATTAGCCATTGTTGATGTAGGGTGCTTTGATTAAGCCATCTAAACCATTTTGTGTAAAGATATTGCAGTTTACATTTATCGAAAGGGACCTTCCGTGCATTTTGAGGCAAGAACTATTAAGTTAAATTTACATTTTGGAATTTGAAGGTTTTTTTAGGATAAATTTAGACACTAAATCTACTTGTATACAAGATTTTACAAGGTGGTCGAAAATTGTCCCTTTTCATCTAGTTTTTTTTTTTAATGTATAACAAAATTGTTGGTATTTTATGGGGGTTGGGGTGATGCACGTTTTAATTAGGGTTTTAAATGTATTTTTACTTTCCTATCTGTTTACAGATATGGAAACTATAGGAATCATGATTTTTTTCGACTTCGAATTTTCGACGGTTTTTTATGTTTTGGGGTATCTTGAATCTGTTTTGACTATTTTCGCGATGATGTCTGTGTGTGTGTCTGTATCGATAACTCATGAACGGATACAAAGAAAAACACCAAATTTTAAACTTAAGCTTTATTCCGGCGTCCAATTAGCTGATTAGATTTTGGGCAGAGTCGGAACATTTGGAGGGTACTTTATAGTCATCATTTTTATATTTTATGGAATACATCTGTTATTTACGTTTGGAGAAGAAATTTTATTAGTTACTTAGTTACTTACAATATTATTATCTATAATTTGTTCTATACAAAATTTGGTCCGTATTCGAGAAATTTGACAAAATGTAAAAAAAAATATTTTTTTATAAAAATTGTTCAAATAAAAGTTGTAATATAATTCTCTATAATTTTTGCCCTATACATAATTTCTCTAAAATGGACCGTATTCGAGATATTTAAGAAAATGTGTAAATTTCGAATTTTAAAGAAAATTCAGAAACGGATAAAGTAAAAAACATTAAATTTTAAACTTAAGTTTCCATATATGATGTAGATAATGAAAAGAGCATTTTTTATGGATTGGAAGATCTTAATATAAAGGATTTTCGAAATTACTACACAAAAAGTGATTCTGATACCTCATTTGTAAACATAATTGTGAACAACAAAAAAATGAAGTTAAAAAAATGAAGTTAAAAAAATCAGCTCTTTGTTGGTTATTTTCCACTGAAGACGGGCGCTTGTCAACTGACAGATTATCTCGTTTAAAAGGAACATCCTCAGCAGTACTAAATAACAAAAAAAAAACAAGTCCAGAAAAAACAGCTAAAATACCAAATAACTACAATGACAAAGATGTAACAGAAAGTGAAAAAACTACCGGTGAAAACACTTTGCTCCAGAAAAATATCAATGGCATTTTAATTAGGAACGAACAATATTACGCAATTCTTTACGAGTCGTGGTACATAGGTCGGATTGTTCAAATAATTGATGAAACCACTAGTAAAATAAAAATTTTAAAATCTGAACTTGAAGAATATTTATGTCCAAAAAAAGGCGACATTCAAATTGTTAAAAATAAATTAATACTTTACGGACCCATCAATTCAATTGGATCTGGTCCATTTAAACTAGAAACAAACATCAATAAAATTTGTAAACGTCTAAAAAACACTTTAATGAAATTTTTAAATAAAAAACCTCCAATTACTTAATTACTTAACTTGTTTTATTTACCTGTACCTATTTGTTCATTTAGGATATCAAAGATATCTAATAATGGAGGCATGTAAGTACCTACATAGAAGTTTATATTTCGGGTATCACATCAATTAAAACTGATCTTTTGAATGAATAAAAAACGTACAAAAAGTTGATTTATTGATAAATTTGTCGTACACACTTAGTTTTAAATCAATGCATTGTATTTAGCACCTATACATGCGCTGTACAAAATTTAGTTTTTCTGATGAAACACCTAGCTAATGCTTTTTTTACTGGAAACCAACTGGTAAGCCATACAATATCGTAGAAATCCTTCGGAATGCGTGCAATTTTGCAATAATACTGACAATCCATACATACGAGTAAATCGCCGCAATCAATAGGGAAATTGCCGCAATCAATAGAGAAATCGTTGCAGTCAATACATAAATCACTGCAGTCACGGGAAATCTGTCGGAAGTCATGTGGAAATCACCGCAGTCATCCAGAAATCGCCGCAGTCATCCAGAAATCGCCATATGATTGCGGAAATCATATGAATTCGGCAATACATGTACATTTTTACAAAGAGTGATTTGCCCCTCATATTTACCAATTTTTATATTGATTAAAAATCTCCATAAAAAAAATGTTCTGAAGATTTTTAAGTAATAGGTACGATCGTTATTTTTAATGTCGAGGAAAAAAAAAAAATACGCCAAAACATGAATGGACCAATTTTTTCGATTTTTTTTAGAACATTTTGGACCCTCTAAAAATCATTTTTTGGACATTTTTCGCCTTAAAACCCCTTAAAATTAATTTTTTCTTACCTTAAACGTCCAAAAGTGTCATCCAATCACGATCCTAAAATCACGTGAATTACATCATTTTGATTAATTTCTTGTATTAAAAACTGCTAAATATCAATATTAGACTATCCATAGAGCAATAAACTATACATAATGTTTTCGTAAACGCTTATAATTTCTTTGTATTTGACTTTCAAAATTTTAAAACTGATGGTTACTTCCTAGTAACATTTTATCTACTGTCAGTCCTGTCGTTTGAAAACATCTAAAAAATACAGTGTCCAGATCAATTCGAACATGTCAATCGTCATGTTACCTGTATCCTGCGTTGTTCCAGGCTATCAAAAAATGCGACTTTCGACCTTTTTTTTCGCACAGTCTCTTTCGATTATGTACACAGGCCCATGGATATACAACAAGAAAATCAAGCAACGACTTCTCCTAGGCCACCAGAAAACATCAACCCATACCTAACCCATACCTGGCTACGCCGACCGGCATAGACTCCAACGGCCTGGACACAGCTCAAATTAAATTGAAAACGTAAACTTTTTCACACTCTTTCTTGCAATTGGGCATACCAATCCATAAATATGCAACAAGAAAACGAAGCATCGATTTCTCATAGAGTGGCGGCTTCGCCGCCACCAAAAAGCATCAACCCATATCTGGTTACGCCGACAGGCATAGACTCCAACGGCCTGAACACAGCTCAAATTTAATTGAAAACGTAAACTTTTTCACACACTTTCTTGCGATTTCACATATCAGTTCATAAATATGCAACAAGAAAACGAAGCAACGTCTCGTAGGATGGCGGCTTCGCCGCCACCAAAAAACATCATCCCATACCCGGCTACGCCGACCGGCGCAGACGCCAACGGCCTGGACCTGGCTCAAATTGAAATGAAAACGTGAACTTTTTCACACAATCTTGCGATTGTGCATACCAGTTCATACTAATGCAACAAGAAAACGATGCAATGACTTTTCATAGGGTCTAGCCGCCACCAGAAAACATCAACCCATACCTAGCTACACCAACTGACATAGACCCCAATGACCTGGACACAGCTCAAATTGAACAATTGAAATGAAAAGTCTCAAATAAACACATTTATATTCTGGTTTTATCATCTGGCCTGGAGCTATTGAAAAAACAGCCAGTCATTCCTGTTATATACGTTCTTTTACTATGTTTGGCAACACCGCATTTATAGAATTAGAAATGTCAGTTGTCATATTATTCATAAACAAAAATTATTTGATATCATTATTATTTCAAGATTTTAAAAACCAAAAGTGAAGAATAATTAACATTAAGGAAATGTTTTCTTGGTTTATTGCTATGGATAGTCTAATATTATTTATCCATTTGTACAACAAGAAATCAATTGAAATGATTTAATTTACATATTTTTAATGGCCAAGTCTGGACACTCTAGACAAAACATTTGAATGATTTTAAGAGAAAAAAAAAAAAAAAAAAACAAGTTTTTAATTGTCAGTGGACTCTAAATAGTTATGTGGAGGGTGTTTCAAAGTGTTTAACAAGATTTTTTTAAATTTAAAGAGTAATATCCGCCGTTCATGTTTCATGGTATATTGCCAACCGCTTCTTCACAAAGCACACCAAAATGAAAGTGGAGATTTGGCAAAGTGGCAAATTCTAGGCGTCAGTGCAGAGTGGTGTACACATGCACATTTCTCGACCTGTCCACTACAAGATTACCACATAAAGATAAATTTTTTTCAAACAAAAGGGAATTCATATTAACAAACAACCCATCTCATGTTGTTCTAACCATAATAAATAGGTTAACATACTATATATAAAATACCTTCTCTTATCCTTAATAATCTTGCTCCCCCATCAGTCATATCAAAAATCCACAATTTCAAAGTATTATCTGGTGAAGAAGTAATGACCAAAGGTTCATTTGAAAGGCACACCATTCCTGTAACAGCCCCATCATGAGCAGCCTGAAGCTGACTAGAAACTTTTCTTTCTTCTAAATCCCAAAAAACTATGTGACCACAAGCACTACCTGTTGCCATTATTGGGCTGCCATCTGTTCTAAAGGATATTGAGGTAACTATGCCCCAATCTTGGGTAAATTCCATGAGAGTTTCATCAAATTTTAAATTATGAAGAATTATTCTTCCAGTAGTTAAACCTATAGCAACTACATCAATTGCTGGGGCCTGTTCCAGGCAACTAATCCCAGCTTTCCATCCTTTAAATGTATAAATTAATTTAGCATTATTGATATTCCATAACTGCATACTACCATTATCACTGGCAAGTAATATTTTATTTATATAGGTACTAGGATGTAAAATAGCACGAATATTAAAAGTTTCATTACTAAACGTAAGTTCAAAGTGAACAGTTTCTGCTTTAATGTCCCATATTTTTACATTACTAGATTCATCTACTGAAATAAGATGGGCACCAAACGGTATCATAAGGTGTACATTCTTCTTGTGACCCTTATAAGTGTGTTTCAGTTCTGTGCCTCTCCTCCAGGCATAGATTACATTGTTTACAGCTGTATATACGTGGTAGGCATCTGCAGTCATACAATTAATATCGTCATGGTGAAGACCACTTACACTTAATAAACCAAAATGAGATATTCCGTATGTGTGAAAAGATTTTCCAACACATGTAATAATAAGATTCTCTTTTCTACTTTTTATGTATCTTACTTGTAAAGGTATGTGATTACTGACATAACCTAATCCCCTGGAGGGTAAAAATACGGAACTTCCATGCATTATTCTATTAAACGTAAAATATTCATTACTTTAGAAATTGTAAAGATATTTGTTATATTAGAATCAACACATGTACAAAAATGTTAGGTTAGGTTGCACTAAACCACCACAAAACTCAAAATATGCCATCATCACAGAAGTGGCACAGAACTGAAATAAGAAGAAAGAGACTGGATTTGATCATGATCCAATAAGGAATGTTGTAGGGGCCGATTAAAATTTTGTATTCACCTGTATAACTGGATCTCAGACGGTTTGCAGAAAAATTTCAGAAACCGCGAACAAACATGTTTTCGTGGAACGAAAAACTTAATTTTTCGGAAGTAGGTTGCAGAATTAAATTAGAAAAAGAGTTTAGTTTTGATTTTATCTGAACGTACTCCACGAATGTTGACAGTAGATATCCATCTAATTGACATTTGACGTTGACAGTGTTGATGCTCGATTTCGGCGTGCGTATATACATGTTTCTTGTTTCTTTCCACATTTCACTAGAAAGTTATATGGTTTTTCTTTAACTAAAGAGCCAAGTATTTACGTTATTATTAAAGTATTTGTTGCTTATAAGTTAAATAACAATTGAGAAAACACACAAGATGGAAGCAGCTCAAAAAAGGGGTGCTTCGGTATTTGAGGATCTCTCAAATGTAGAATTCGAAACCAGTGAAGATGTGGAAGTTATTGAAAAGTTCAAAAACATGAATCTGAAGGAAGAATTGCTTCGTGGAATTTTTGCATATGGTAAGTTTGTAAAATTAGGTCATTAACTTTCTTTTTAACCTCAATTTCTTGTAGGTTTTGAAAAGCCTTCAGCTATTCAACAAAGGGCTATTAAGCCTATTATGAAGGGCAGAGATGTTATCGCCCAAGCACAGTCGGGAACTGGTAAAACTGCTACTTTTTCAATATCAATTTTGCAAGCCCTTGATTTGACGATGAGAGAAACACAAGTATTGTGCTTATCTCCAACAAGAGAATTGGCTGTTCAGATTCAGAAAGTTATACTAGCTTTAGGTGACTTTATGAATGTACAATGTCATGCATGTATTGGTGGAACAAATCTTGGAGAGGATATAAGGAAACTTGATTATGGACAACATGTTGTTAGTGGAACACCAGGAAGAGTATATGGTAAATATATATATTTTTAATTATTATCTAGTTTGAGCTATTTTCGCTTATGAAGAAACTAAGCATACCTACTTACTTGTAAGCATGGGCGTCGTTTGGAGGGGGGACAGTTGCACCCCCCTGGCTTTAACGACTTAATCAACAACGCGTAAGATATGCATTACAAACAACAATCTCATAGAAATAAAATTCAGGCTAATATAGTTGAAGAATATTATAGTTTGAATATATTTATTGCATATCTCGATTCCCTTATTACATTGCTTACATCATGCTTTTCCAAAGAATCTAGTGTTAATTTTTCCTTAAGCCTGTTACATCCCAAAAACATAAAAAATAATACTGTGTTCACTACCGATCAGAAAATGAAAATAGTGGAAAAATTTGGAATCGACAATTTTGAAGCTGAATACCAAACGTGGATAGCTAAACTGGAGTACGAAAGAGCTTTCTGCACACAATAACCTCTTCATTATTGATATAACATCCAAACATTGTGAATTTTATCCAGACATACAAAGAGTTTTAAAAATATTTATGGCTCTTCCACCAACGACGGCGTCAATTGAAAGAACCTTAAGGCCTAAGGCATGTTAAAACATGGCTGCGGTCTATTCGCTCAGTGCGAAATAATGGTAGGGGAAGCAAAAGCGATACTAGCCCAAGCTCCAGATAATTCGAGTACTCTAGGACGATCTTTTGTAATTTTAGCCTATCAGATACAAGTATACATTTTACTTTTTTCTTAAAAAATAGATAAAGACAATAAAATGAGCAACCGGAGTTGCTATGTTGTATACTGTAAAAATACTAGAAAAAAAAAACTGTAAATTATATAAATTTTCAGTAGCAAAATGGAAATTAAATCAAAGAAATAAATGTAATAATAACAGTAATACTGGAAATAATAGACAAAAAAAAATTGAAAGGTTTTAAATATACAATAAATTATTATTTTATGATGTTCTTCAATGTCCCTTAAATCTTAAATGTTTAGCAAGGATTAGATTTCTGCCTTTGATTATTATATGTGGCTGAAATTCAATCTTGTGACTTATCGATAGGAAATCAGTTTTTATAATTAATTTCTATGAGTTCTTTCGACCTCAAAATGAAGAAAATATAAATTACAATCGCAAATATACCAATTATTTTTGTTTCTAAGTTACTGTATAATGGTAATGTTTTTATTTTGACATTCTTTAACCTATTCTTCAATGACAACTTATTAGGCTTAGGCAACATCTCATACATTTTCTTGCCTATGTTTTATTACTGATTTTTATTGAGTATACTACTTTTTTTTAGCTGAAGTAATAAAAATATATAATAATAAAAAATTAATTTTTTCACTTGTTTTACAAATCCATATACTTTTATTAAAATCAACATATATATTTTTAATTACGAATTCTATTAAAAATTGTATTGTCAGTATACGCAAATATCGTCCGTTAGTTCATAAAATAGTTGGCGCTGCTGTCACATACGGAGCGTATAATACATGAAAATAGGCTGACTGGGCTATGCATGATGAGCGTACATCGAAAAATAATCTGAAAAACCAAATATAGAAATTATGTTTTCTGTTATTGATGTTTTGTATTTTTTTTGTGTTCGTCGACGAGAGTGAGTTTTTTTATGTTTTTGTGTTTTTATAAATTTTTTTTTTTTATTATTATGTATGGCTGTCTTCCTGTTCATATTTTCCTTTTATATCACACCTTCTGTTTGTTTTCTTAAAAATGTGTTACGTTTCTTGTTTTTTTTTTTTTAGTTTTTGTCTTTTTTGTTCAGTTATTTTATTTATTAGAGACTTGTTAATTTATATTGCTCTTTTATTTTTCATTTTCTTTGTTTTCCAACAAATAAACATTCTAAATTTTTGTCAAAATTTTGCCTCTGCCTATAGAATTTTGTAACGACGCCCATGCTTGTAGTATCACTATTCTAAACTTCTAAACAAAAAATATTAGTATAGTTTGTGCAGAACAAAGTTTGATTCACTTTAGTAATGTCATCATATTTGCCAGATTAAATTTAATGCCTACAGAATTTAATTTAATATTAACAAGAGATGATAGTAAATGTTAGAAAACAGAATTAAATCATATAAGAAAAATATACATCCAACTTTGTTTTGCGCAACCATACATACCATCTTGTGCAAATTAATAATAACAACAATTTTTTTAAATGAAAATATTTCACAAATTGTCTCAAGATGCTACTTTTATGTCGCAGACTGTTGCCAAGTCGCACAAAAAGTTTACATTCAATTATTAGTATCAAAATTACAGCAATTAATTTCTAATAATTTTCTCTGCTTTAACAATATGTAATATTATTACTATTGAGATTGTTTTACCTACGCAGCACTCATAGTCGCCCCCTTTTCCGTAAAATGGATAAAATTAATGGAAAAGATGGCATACTTTTAATAAAAAAATATAATTTGTATCCTTATTATTCATTTGCACAAGATACGGAACTTAGGTTTTTTGTTTGAAGAGCTCAAACTGGACATTTACCATATTATTTTTTGCAAAACAAAGTGTATTGTATAAATTAACTCTTTTAGACATGATTCGAAGAAGAGCCCTTAGGACAAGATCAGTAAAAATGCTGGTTCTAGATGAAGCTGATGAAATGTTAAATAAGGGTTTCAAAGAACAAATTTATGATGTATACAGATTTCTTCCTCCTTCCACACAAGTCGTTCTTATATCAGCTACTTTGCCCCATGAAATTTTGGAAATTACATCAAAGTTTATGACTGATCCCATCAGAATCTTGGTCAAACGGTAGGTAACACATGTTTTAAGCTAGTTAGGGAATATAAAAGTAAAATAGCATTTTTTTAAAATTAAAAAATATATTCTCTAATAATGTATACACAAAATTTAAAGTTCTATTTACTTAATATAAAATGAAAGGCCCAAACAATATAATACATACACATACAGAGGCTCCAAAGAAAAATGCACCTTCAATCGAATTAATAATTATTAATATTTATTATGTCCAATGTTCTGGCAATCTTTGGTTCTTACAAGAAATATCCAACAAATGAAACTAAAAAATTCCCATATACCATTATTTCTAAAGTAGGTATTGGAGAAACTTGTAGGTTTGTCTACAAGTTAAATGAATCCTTGGTTAATTGTAAATATTTTTGCATTTACTTTGTTTACAATTTTAGCACTTTAAGTATATGATATAATATGGACTATAGACTAATAAAGAGTTTTTTTTTTAAGTGATGAATTGACACTAGAAGGCATCAAACAATTCTTCGTGGCAGTAGAGAGAGAAGAATGGAAATTTGACACCCTCTGTGATCTTTATGATACATTGACAATTACTCAAGCCGTTATTTTCTGTAATACCAAAAGAAAGGTAGATTGGTTAACTGAAAAAATGAGAGAAAACAACTTCACTGTCAGCTCAATGCATGGTGACATGCCTCAAAAAGAAAGAGACAATATCATGAAAGAGTTCAGATCAGGGCAAAGCAGAGTATTAATTACTACAGATGTTTGGGCAAGAGGGATAGATGTACAACAAGTTTCATTAGTTATTAATTATGATTTACCAAACAATCGTGAATTATATATTCATCGTATTGGTAGATCTGGTAGATTTGGTAGGAAAGGTGTTGCCATCAATTTTGTTAAATCTGATGATATTAGGATTTTGAGAGATATTGAACAATATTATTCTACTCAAATAGATGAAATGCCTATGAATGTTGCTGATCTAATTTAAATTTGTAGAAAGGAGTATTTGTTATTAATTTATACTTGACATAAATCAGTAATTTATTTTTATCTTAAGAATAGTTAGATGTTTTGATTTTTAAGACATGTATAAAACTAATAAGTTTTCAATGGAAAGTACCAACATTAAAACATTCTTGTATTTTAGTTTTATATATATATATATTTTTTTTGTACATTTGCACCACAACTATACTAGTTAGTTGGTTATTATTATTATTTCTTGAGTTAAAATGGATTTTATATGTATTTCTGAATATATATGCATTAATAAATATTTTGGTTAAAAACATTTTTTTTTTGCAAATATTTTACAAGTGATAGTAGTTAAGATAAAACAAAAAATCCCAATAAAGAATTTTAAAAAAGTTATATTTGTTTTCCTTCAGCAATATGACTAAATAATTTCAACACTATTCAAATTTCATGGTTTATACTTAACATTATTATTATAAATACAATAAGGACTGAGGTCTGGCAAGACCTATGAGCCCAGATATTAATGATTAATTAAATTAAACCAATTAAATCGTCCAAATTAAATTAAAAGGCCATTAACAAAATAAAATATTGTAATACCTACAAATTAAAAATGCAATAAAAATATTAACCCTGTAAAATCTTATCTAGTTTGTTTTTAAAAATGATAACATTCTCAGCATTTACTACATCTAGAGATAAGCTATTCTATGTGTGAAATATTCTATTACATAAAAAGAAATTTTTTCTATATCTACATGGATATTTTCTATTTTATGCAATACAAAACGAAAAAGTATGCCATTGCATTCAATTCCGTGGTTCAACTAAACGAATATATTTCATATCCATTCTACCTAGAGTAAGAAAACTGCACAAATATGAAATCCACCTATCACAGTACATATTTTGGTCACCTGGCTTAAGTATTTTTTAAAATTTTAAATTAGTTACAATTCTTTCAAAGTAATTGTCAGTATATTTTTTAGTTGTTGAGATTAAATATAGCTTAAAATTAGTTAATCTTGTGTTGCATTGCCAATGGAGCTGAGACTAGTGCATTTGACTGTTATGCGAGAGGACCCGGGTTCAAATCTAGGATTGGAGACTAATGAAATTATTTTTAAATTAGTTATTTCATCTTGACCTAAAATAATTTTTAAAATTGTAGATTTGCGTTTGTGGGTCGTAGAAAAAATATACTGTACAACTCGAGTGGATTGTCCGTATCTAACTCATACGCACTCGTCTTCGTGCGATATGGTCATCATATCCACTCTTGTACGTTGCACAAACTACTATTCTAGCATTGCATTTGAATGTTTCTTAATTGGGATTATTTTATTATCTGACAGGTATTATCTGACGGCAACAACGCACTTCATCAATTCACAAGCAACAGATGTGAGACTAATGGGTCCATATTTATTTGTATCCAGTTTGTTGCTATTTGTTACTTTCCAATATGTATACAGATAAGGAAAGCAAAGGAATCAACTTATTTCGAGTTTTCGACGAGATAGAGGTAGAGAAAGATGAGATAGAGATTGCTGGGACACAGAGGTCAAAATAAGTCGATTAGAACCAATTAATTTATATACCAAAATGTACCCTTTGTCCGTGAGAAGAGTTCAAAGTTTACATAAAAAAAAACACATTTTTGTAAGCTGTTTAGAAATGAGTGAAACAAATTAAGATTACTCTTCTTTCGGTAATCAAAGAAACCCAAAAGAAATTGTAGAAGGGTTAATTAAAACCACACTCACACCCTGACAATTTTTTTAAAAACATTCTTATTCTTAGGGGTAGTGTAGTAATACAGTCCTCAATTTTTTTAGCTAGAAGACTGATTAATTATCTTCATTTTGTTACTCTTGTAAAAATTTCGTATTCCGTATAATTCTGAAGTAAAAAATGTTTTCTTAAATAATGCTAACATATTATTCCTAGTTTAATAAAATTGTAATACAAAATTTAGTTGGCAGTGGAAACAAAGGTGACACAATTCGTGATTTTGACAGGATACAAATTCATAATCATTCAAGTTTTGTTGTTGACTGTAAATGTTCCAATAATTTCTTCAATTTTGTTATTATCGCAAGTACCATTACTTATTATGTAATTGCTATTTTAACTGTTATTAAATTCAGGGCCGGTTTTACCTAACATGAGGCCCTAGGCGCCAGACAATTTCGAGGCCCCTTGTTAGGCGCCTATTTTATAATATTACTAAATAAACTATAGTGTTACCAGGGTATTTCGTGATATATTTTAAATCAAATTTCAGTCGCAGCCAAAGGAAAAAAAATACAAAAAGTTTTTTAATTTTTTAATACATTTTATTTGACTCTAATAATTATTAAAACGCAAAACATCTGCGTTATGCAAATTAACACCGTAATCTGTCAAAAAAAAAAAAAAATAATTCCTGTCGCGAACGCACGATATTGATTTTTTAACAGTGGCGGTTTGCCCGTAAGGGCACTTGGGCACGTGCCCTAGTATAATAATAATAATAATAATAAAAAAAAATAAGTTACATATTTTATATTTTCCTCAATGCCTCATTATTTTATCTAATATTCAGCGCAAACCGAGTTGGCACGCCACTGGACGACCGGGCGTTGAGCGACGTTCAGAGAATTCCGAAAGAAGATGGGCACAGTAAATGTGTGCCTCTATTGTTTTCTCTCTCATTATGATGCGAAAAACAAGGACAACGACAATATCGCTTAGCAAGAGATGAACACATGCGATGGATTATAAGTCTGAAGCGGGTCGCTGTCCTAGACCAGATATGAATGTACGCAGAGGCATCTTTACCGGCTCCCTCACAAAGGCGATGACGGTTTCGGCTGAAGGTGCGCGTTTGTTGGACCATGATAATAGTTTATTTATTGTGATTACGAAAAAACGTTAGTTGGACCATTGGAGAACTGTTAAGAAATAAAACTATAAAGAAAAATAACTTTTTTTTATAAAGCAGTCAAAAATATGATGAAAAAAAATCAATAATATTTATAAATGGGACATTTTTATTTTTCTTTTGGTTTTGTTCTGACTTTTTCGAGGATTTCAAATCTCTGTTTGCATATTTAAGAGTATAAAAAATTCCGAGTCTTATAAATAATTTAATGGTGTACATTTTCGCAAATTGTTGGCAAGGATAACCAAATTCTATTTTGCTCATCTCAAAAAGGTATGCGTTGGAAATTCCAGACTTAGTTGACAAACTATCAAATAGAGATATAAATATTTTTTCTAATTTGAATATATAAAAGAGAAATTTTTCGCTGGGAGATTTTAAATTGACAAGCACCTTTTCTTCAGAGTCGTATGCTTTAAAATGCGTTAGCCTCTTAACGTCCGCTTTTTTAAAATTAGGATAAAAAATTAATTTTGTGAAAAAGTAGCTTTAGATAAGGACAGAAACATATGTGTATATTTTAAAATTTATTTTTTCTATTATTAAAAAAAAAACAGTCAGTCTTATGGAACAAAGGTCGATGACAGTCAAACATGGAAAGCGGCAAAGCAGTTTCTCTTCTTACTGATGCATAAGTAAATGTTGCATTTCATGCAATAAAAATAAGTTTTAAGACCGCTGTTAGGCTTTTTTGCATCTCTGTCTTTCTGTCTTCTCACATGGAAAATGGGAGATCTTGTCAGTGCGTACGTCGAACTGAGGAATTGGTTTTGTTTGACTTTTTTTCTTTTTTATTTCGAAGTCCCTATCAACTGTAGAACTGGGTCTTCCTCTTTTTGCATTGTTTTCACCTTTTCCCAAGAGACATAATCCTTCTGATATCTCAGCACGAAAAGCGAGAGAATCCATAATATCTTTTTTTGGAATATTTGCTTTTATCATGTCAGCTCTGTAACGTAACCAGGCGGTGACTAAAACCAAGTCAATACAGTGAAAGAAAATTTTCAAGTACCATTTTCGACTTCTTAGTCCTGTCCTATAATATGCTATAAGTCCATCTAAGAGGTCGACTCCGCCCATAAATTTATTATATTGTTTTACTATCGCTGGTCGGTAAACATTAATTTTTCATTTTGTTTTTCGATCAAAACGTTCAACGGTATCCATAGGCTGCGACCTACAAAAAGTGCTGACTAAATGGATACTTTTATTATCAAACCATTTTAGGGCAGTGACCTTCACGTCATCAATATTCACCTCATACTCTTCAAATGTGCCCCTGTCCTTCTTTTTCATAGCTTTGTCAGATGTAAAAGCTAAACCAGGTAGCCTGTCTTTTCTGACAGTGCCCAAACAGGGAATTCCGTCAGTTTGAAGTAAGTTGAGAAGCTGTATGGATATAAACCAGTTATCAAAAAGAGTAAATGATTTTTATGTCGAGGAATAACGGAGGCTAGGCGAAGGACTATGTTTCCGCTCGCTGGAAATATCGTTCCGGTATAGACCTCAAAGTTGTGAATCAAGCCGTTACTATCGCATAACACAAATACCTTGTAACCCCACTTATGATGCTTCTTTGGGTTGTATTGCTTTAGTGACGATTTGCCCTTAAAAAGCACGATTTGCTCATCCACGCATAACATCTGTGGTTTTACTTGGTCTGTAAATTTATTTTGTAAATAATCTAAAAAAGGTCTTAGCTTAAATAATTTGTCTCTGTTGACGTCATTACGATCCCTAGGCAGATTTGTGTTATTATTGAAGTGAAGGTTTTTTATTATTTCTTCCCACCGTTTTCTAGAAATAACATCTGCTACTTGTGCTACTCTACATGCTGAGCTCCAATACATCCTGTGCCTAGGCAAACCAAAAATTGACATATAAATTACGGTTCCGATATAAGTTTCCAGTTCGGCAGTTGTAAGGTTTAGAGGTTTACTCACGTCAGTCTGGCAAGCATACAAGTTGCTTTGTTCTGTTATTATATTCAACAGTTCATCAGTGAAAAATAGTTGGAAATAATGTATCGGTCTTCGGTCTTCCTATCTCTGCTTCCTCTTCTAAATCTTCTGCAGCAAATTGGGGTTGAACAAAATCTG